TAAGCCAGCACGCTGGCTGCCATTGTCCAGATGGCAAAGCCAGCACGATGGCTGCCATCATAGTTGAAGTGGGCATGAGCCAGCACGCTGGCTGCCATCGTAGTGGAGTGGGAAAGCCAGTGAGCTGATTCCCAGAATCTAGATGGCAAAGCCAGCGCGCTGGCTGCCATATTATCCTTATATAGATGTATATATATGCTCTTTGGAGCAAAAGCTCTTTGGCTCGGCTGAGGCGCAAAAAGCGCATCTTGGCTAAGGCGTCCTGCCGAAGAAACGTAACAAGGGCACTACTACTAGTAATAAGAACGCTACTAGGGGCTCCTGGCCGTACGACTAGGAACAAGACGCTATTAGGGGCTCCTGGCATCGCTACTATAGGAGCAAAGATGCTACTAGGGCCATCGCTATGAGGGTTCGCCAGCTATAGATGTATATATGTATGTACAGATAGGTGGCAAAGCCAGCATAAAGCAGATGTTTATGAAATCCTTTCGCGGGTCTTTGTTTCTCACTGTAGATCTTAGGCAGGTTTCGTTTCGTGTTCGTTGTGTGTTTTGAGGTTAGAGCATCGAGTCCCTGGCGCGATGCGCGCGGTGGCTCAAGCAGAGAGACCGCAGCAATTTCCAAGTGAGTTCGCGTAAGTCTCCACAGACTGTAGCCGGGAACGTGCAGCAAGGCAAGAGCCGTGAAGAATGTACTTGCAAGACGTTTCGACACACCTCATAGGCTTCTCGTCAAGAGACGCGCGGACCATGGCCACTCTGCAGGACGCAGTTCTGCGAAACGCGGAGGCAGCGGGGCAGCAGGAGCAAGAGGCGCAGCGCCTGCGAGACGGACACCGGGAGGGAGGCGCGGCATGGTTGCGGACCGAGTTGGAGGCCAAGAACTACACCGACTTGCGACGGCTGTGCGCTGAGTTGGGACTGCCGCAGAAGCGCGACGGCAGCAGCCTTCGGAAGGAGCAGCTGCTGGAAGCCATAATGGATTGCTTCTCATCGCAGGAGGGATGGAGTCAGGGTATGGGCGTAGAGCGGTGTTGAACTTTGCGCACAAGCTGTTTGTGTTGCAGTAGGTGTCGGGTAGACTCGACGGTGGAAAGCTGCGCTTTGCGGGAAGGGTAGTGTTCGGGGATGGGTGTCTGCTTTTGGTATCCAAGCAAAATCCCTGACAGGAACCGGCGCATCCGAACATGGAGGACGGTTTCGTGATTTGTAGCTGTATTCGAGTAAGGAAAAGATATCTAGATATAAGACTTTCAATCTTTGTTCAGATACCCAACAATCTTTGTTAAGATACCCAAATTGTGTTAGGGGATGGGTGCAGTGTACAGTTCAACTTAGTTGAGACGCTGTTTTCTTGTG